TTAGAAATATTAAGATATTTCAAATATATAATTTTTTTTAAAATTAGAAATTGAATAGTAATTGATAGCCAATTTTTAAAAATGAAATAAGGTACTATAAAATTATATATAATAGGGGGCCTGGTTCATTTCGCCAACAATCATTTTGCCGACAAACATTTCACTGACAAACGTTTCACCGACAGGGTTATCTCACTGACAAACGTTTCACCAACAATCATTTCACTGATAAAGCTATTTATTTTATAAACATTTCAAATGGATTCGTATTGTGTTTTATTGGGTACCATTTTATTGTATATTTTTTACATTTCCCTTGTAATTTAGTATAGTTGCTGTTACTTATTACATTAATACATTTAATACATTTATTTAAAACAATTAAAATCAAGCTAAAATGATAAATTATGTGCTATTCCCCTAAGGAAATCAATAACTTCTCTATTATCCCGGTCATTATAAACTGTTTGAATTCAAATTTCTCATTCCTGATCCTTTTTCTTTTGTAAAGGGCATGGGACTCCTTGCAAAATTACCTCGATATTATTTTCAACTTGATTTTGTTCATACTGTATTTCTTTTATTATTTTGAAGATACCTATATGTGCATGACCTACCAATGTATTCCATCTCCTATGCCATGCTTCGGCGACATTCTGGATTCTAGGAAAAGTGTACTCAATATTGTTTGTGACTGACCAGATTGAGGGTGGGAATAATGGATCAAAGCAGATTATATTCCCACTTCTTGTTGTTCGTCATATCCTACCATGTAGTGCTTCGACCCGGATGAAAACCGTCATCCGGATTACACAAAAAAAAAATCCGGATTATATCCGGATTGACCCGGATTTTGAATCCGGATCAGATAATCCGGATAGAAACCGGAAACCGGATTGGATTTACAAATGATCGGCAATAATTCTGGCCAGAATTCATAACGCCGGCCAGAATTACAAATTGTGTAACATTAAATTTTCATGCCAGCCGATAAAAAATTTTTTGCCCGGTGGCTAAACTATTTTTTCGGTATCACGTGATGTTAATTTCGGCCAGAATTACAAATTTGGCCAAAATTATCCAAGACCACGAAATCTGTCTCTTATACACATCTAGATGTGTATAAGAGACAGGTCTCAGACTATTGTTTAACATTTCTTTGTAAATTAACTAATTATGAAATTTTAAACAAGATATTTTTATATACAGCTAAAGATTACTATAAATAGATGTGTTGGGTTAGTAAGGCAATTTTTTAAGGATTTGTTTCTTCTTTCAAAATTAAAGAATCATTTGAATCAAATTATATAACACTAGTTTTAATTTTTAAAAAAAGTTGTTATAATTATATAAATTTATAATATTGAACAATTTTTCATTTAAAACAATAATTATTATTTTGTTGTAACAAAAATAATATAAAGTTTTTTTTCTTTTGAATGTTTGAATGTGAAATCTAAAATTATTTGTTATTTGTTAATGTATAAATTTAAATAAACAAATCTGATACAAACTTCAATAAATAAATTATAATTGAAAAATCTTCTTAAACTTACTGTATTAAAAAGTTTAATATGACAAATATAAATTTAATAAATTTTAATAAAAAAATTGGTATTAGGCGCAAAAATAATTAGCCATAATATCATTTAGATATAGATCTTTATGGATCAGCAAAATTATTATTAATAAAAAAAAAAATAATAAAAATTTCATCCGGATTCCGGGTCAAACCGGATATTTTTCATCCGGTTTATAATCCGGATGAAAACCGTGAAAATCCGGATATCCGAAAAAAAAAAAAATCCGGATCAATCCGGATTGATCCGGATACGGGTCGAGGCACTACTACCATGGATGTAATAGATTTCGAACAATTCCATGATACTATTGGCTTCTTCTGGCATGATGGCTCTTAGTTCATCAAATGCTGAAGGTATATTGTTATGAGGTAAAAAAGCCAAAGCAGGAATGTGGTGAATGAGTAAACTGAAAGTTTTGTCAGTTCCATACTGAACTGTAAGGCCAAGTTCTTGCACTTTGCGATAAATATTCTGCGATAAATGAAAGTGGTAACCTTTATTTTGAACTCCTTGAAATTCAGCACGTATGGCATTAATCGCAATAATTTCAAAATCGGTTATAATAAACTGAAGCTGTAGATCAACATCATGTTCATAGCTGAAGTCAATTAATTCTTGAAATAAAGCTCTATAAGCTACTTCAGATTTATTTAACATTAAAGCATATACCAGCGGCATTATTTGTGAATTTTCATTGCTTCTAATACTTCCATGTATTGTATATAATTGTCTAAAAATTGTTGAAACCGTTTTGAAAGTTCTATCTGCGAGCCAAAAGTTTAATTGTGCTAAATATTTAATATTAGAAGTAGTAGTAAAAATCAATACTTTTTCTTCACATACGGTTAAATCCTTAATTAAGAAATCTGAACCATTTAAGGTTTTTCGCATATTTTTGGGTATGATAAGTTGATCTAATGATTGTGGTTCTATTGGATAATTAATATGTCGAATTTGTTTAACCGTCTGACGAAAAGCATCACGTGATAGAAGATACGGGTAGACATCTTGCGAAGTGCCAGCTACAATAGATTGGATAACCTATACGGGATTGTCATTTGATTGTTGAAACCTCTCTTTTAATAATTTGATAGCTTTTATAACTTTAACTTAGTTGGCTTTAGCGGCATGATTATGGTCAGTAGCTTTTACAAGATGATGCTGATCTTCAGTTAAAATTGTTGTTACTCGTCCTTTGCAGTTTAACATATCTCGCTTTTCACAATACCAATAGTACATATAATTTCTGTTTTTGTCTTTGACCATAATAAAGCCATGAACATTAATTTTATGTTTATTACGAATAGAAGGAATAATCTCGCAAATATCCATTTCTTTAATAAAAGAAGAAAATTTAGTGAGAATAAAAAAAAAGGTTAATTTTATATTATACTTCCTAATAACAATAATAATTTTTTTTGATATTCTCACGGATGATTTTTATTTAAAAAGATGGATAAAAAGTTTATCAATATTGGATAAAAGTCTACGGTAATAAAAAATTGTGACTATGTACATATTAATAATTACTAAATAAAGATAATATTAAAAAGTTTTCTTTGTTCAGGTTATTAATAGTAGCTTTTTTGTATTAAATCTAACAAAGAAACACATGTTACTAACAAAAAAAAATTCCCCCTATTTCATACAAAAGTTATAAAGATATATGTAAATATTTTATAAAATTTTATATTTAATTTTATATATACAGTATTTCGTGTTATTAAAAAAAAAAAAAAAAATTATATATATATGTCAGTGAAACGTTTGTTGATGAAATAACCCTGTCGGTGAAACGTTTGTCGGTGAAATGATTGTCGGTGAAGTAATTGTCAGTGAGTTAAACGTGACCCATAATAGGTATTTAATATAGATGGTTTTGAAATTAATTTTTATAGTAAAGCTATATTTTATCAAAATCTGAAATTCTATATTTTTATTTAAATTTTATTTTTTATTTATAATTTTATTTAAATTATTATTATCTTTATTTTTTATTTTATTTTTATTTTATTTCTAGTTTATAGTATTTTATTTTGGTTTACTTATATTTTTAATTTTATTTGTAATATAATATTTAAGTACATGATTTAATATTAAAAAAAAAAAAACTATTATATATAGTTTTTTGAATTTTAAAACTATTTTTATTACTTTTTTATTTACTATTACCAGTAAGATTGCTAAAAAACTAGGAGGGTTTAACAAGTTATCAAATTAATTGAATGCTAAAACTATCAAATTATATTAATAATGGTATAACTAGAGAAATTCTATATTAAAACTATTTTGCAAAATTAATCATAAGATTTTAAAGGAATTTAAACAAGCAACTTTAATACCACTATTATCAGTATTACAATTATCTGATAATAGAATTCTTTACACTAATACTTTACTGATCTTACCTGCATCTATACAAAGGTTTGCATCTAGTTGCAAATCGCACCATTTCAGACTAGCGCAGGATTCCGAAGAAAATATGTACAGTATGTAATTTTCTGACAAAGTCATATGGTTAAAATTGTGGAGTGTGAGTGTGTCACCTGTGATGATCTAAAAATAAGTTACGCGTTGCGAGATGTTTTCGGAGTTAGTCTCATAAGATTGATAAGAACGATACATTTGCCTCAAAGTTTAAAGTTGTGTCCTGGTCAAAATAGTTAGTTATGTATTTATGTATTGAGAGGTTCTGTTCTTCATTTTACAAAGGAGGGATTATATGCCATTATGCCTTTTTACATTATTAGTAACACCTCAAACGAGTGAGTTTCATTTCTTACCTTGGAATTATATTTTCTAGTGTCTTTGTGTGATCATTTCATAGAAATTTCTCGAAGTAAAGCTTTAACTCTAGGTGTATTCCCGGGTTTAAAGACTTAAGTTCGCTGATTTCTTTGTTCAACAGTTCCTTGTTTTGATTTCCAGCAGGGCAGGTAATTGTATTATAAGTCGCGAAAGTCCAAATGGAACAATAGTAATGTATGAACATATTCTAAAATCGCAACTGGTTTTTGATAGGTTATTGACAAATATGCCACGTATCCGGAATCGATTAAGAATGTTTAATGTCTGACGGATACAGAAACGGGTGCTTATGAACCCATAATCATAATCAAATGAGTCAAAAGGATAATAAGAGATTTGTGAAAATTAATTTATTGAGAAAGATAGGAAAAGAGGATGATCGAGTTTTTATACTTTCTGAACGCGTTCCCACTCGTGATCGTGAAAGTTTATAGCTATCAAACAGTGCCAGAATGAATGCTGTTGATTAATTCTTTTGGCAATCAAGTGATATTAGGACCTTTTTATTTGAGAACTCGTAATATAGAGGCCATTCGTCACAAATTCAAAATTCAGTTAGCAATAGATGAATAAATTGGGAGATTGATCATTAAAAGACTGGATTTTTGCAAATGATGCGACAAATATGATATTATGAATAAAGACCTAGAGCTAAAATGCGAATGATATCGCGTGATATATGGCCTTAAATGAGTTTCAGATGTTATTTCGCCTCACTCTTTATTGGATAGTGATTTAGAATCTTTGGCGTCATTTGATCAATCTTCATGTTAAGCTTGGTATCATCACTGAAGTTTAGAAACATAGACAGATCCTATTTTTAGCAACTCTACGATATGGAAACGAATTGGATGAAAATTTAATGCTGAGGAGTGAGGACCATGAACTCATCTTTGAATAGATAATTCACTATGCGAACCTGATAGAATTTTATGCAAATAATTTCGGCATATTAAAATTATAAAAATAATAAGAGAATCAAAATAATTTATTTTCATTGGGATAAAATATTTACAAATCCATATTAGAATAATAGAGTTTTTAAACCGTTTGCTTGAGTTCTTTTGTTTCTTTGATCCCATTAGATAAGTCATCAAAATCGAACAAAAAATGCGACAACAAAATTCTTTTGGGTATTTCTTCTTGTCCTTGGACGTTTATTACTTTGCTAGTATCAAAATCCCTGAAACGATTAATAATTCGTGTGATAGATAATGTACCAATAGCCAATACAATCTTCGTCACATATTCACTATTACTTAGTGTCCACCCCGTCACTAGTGTTACCATGCTTATTATCACTGCATGACATAAAGTTGAAGAAAGTTTTACATAGAATGAAGTGAGGTAGCAACGCCCGATCGCTTTGGATATTGGCAGAAGCAAAAGTAGAAGCGAAGAAATGACGGCTATTATGAGCAAAGCAGTAGCAAGATTACATCTGACACGACCTCCATCACAAATGGCAGTCATAACATAAGGATCTAATTTTTTCACTACTGTGTTGGTCTTAAAAATAATTCCTAGCTCAAATACATTTACAGAAAGAATGAATGCATAGATTATACTACAAAATCTCTTGTATCTTCTAAAATAATCTTCCCTCATGAAAAGTAAGAATTCAAACAGTATCAAAATAAGAGCAAAAAATAGGGCACAAGCTACTGCAAAATTCAGTGTGTGGGTTGTACCGGTCCTGATACTGTAGAAATAGAAATATATGACGGGTATGAGGAAGCTGGAATAGATTATGAAATCGTCGAGAAAAGTGAATATATTTCTTTTTGTTCGTCTCTTTGTTTCAAAGAGTGATATTGCCAACAGTGGGACCATGACCGTGATGAAAAAATCGATGGCATCGCTGGTGGCATCATATAATTCTACTTGCTGTGCGTAAACCGTTATTGAAAAATTGGTTATGAGTAAAAGACACAATAACAAGTATGACTTTTTCATCTTTATTCAAAAGAGATAGCGTACTGTACATGTTCTTTTCTATTAAAAATTGTAGCTACACAATGGCAGTCAGTACAACAAATAAATAACTTTTTAAGTTTGGATGATTTTACAAATCTCATATCTCATTCGAATAATCTAATAATTATGTAAGTTAAAATGGTTGAATTTGCAGAAATACACTGTATCGGTATACATACATTTATATATCTTGTTTATAACTCTTTTCTTAGTCAAATTCCAATTCTTTAATTGATTTGCATGTCCGCATTCTTTCACGAAGGATCTGAGATCACGGGAAATGTGGCTCTTCTGATCGTTTCTTTTTCATCGGGTTGCTATACTGAATCTTCCAATTTCCTTTCTTGATCGAATACTATCGTAAAAGAATAAATAATTGCAAATTTCCTGTTCGAGAGGTAGGAGAGTCGAGAAAGCGGGTCACGTGAAATGATGCAATTTCTGTGCGATATAAAAACGTATTAACGATCACTACTTTCTCGGAAATAAATTTTTATCCCAACACACTTGTACAAGAACGTGAAGATGATTTTAGGGGTTATGCTTGTTAAAGGATAGTGAGGAACCGCAAATAAGAAACGCCGTGTAGAAAAGATAAAGAAAAAATAAGCATGTATAGTATATTAATAAAGCAAGTCTTTTCATTTGTCACATAACATTGAACAATTCCCTTCATAAATTTTCACAATGTTAGTTAACAAAGCGAACCCACCCGAGCTTGAAGTATTGAGACAGCGTACCACTGAGCTTGAGGCTGAGAATGCCGAATTTGAAAAAACATGAAGAGGACGCGTTACTCTGCAAGAGGAAAACTTGATTCTAAGAATGGTACCTTCGTGATGGAGAATTTTGATCTTAAAAACAAGAATGCGATCCTTGCGATGAAATTTTAGCCGGGGCCCTGGCCAAAATTCTTCATTCTTTAGCATAATTATTCGATAAAACAACGGATGCTGAGTGTGGCGTAATTGTGCTAATCAGGAAGAGATTTTACGCTGGTATTATTATGGAAAAGAATTGATTCAGGTTGGAGCAACTATACAAGATGGTAAAGATGGCAAAGGTGAAATCAAGGAAAAAAGGCAAAGGGGATAAATCTTGGAAGGCCTTTCTATTTTTCCTATTTTTCGTAAAAAGAGATCTGAAGAAACGGGATTACGACTCAGAAATTTCCCGCAAATACTTGCAAGGGAAACTCAGAAAGCTGTGAAGATATATAAATTATTTGAAAAGGTAGATGTAGACAAAATTAAGTATATCACTACATATAATGCGAACCCAATTTCAGAGTTGATTAATGATAAAATCTAAGGGACTATGGGTAATTTCTCTGAGATTTGACCAGGGGCTCCTGCCATAATTCAGTTGCCTCGTCCGAAGAAAGTTCATCATCTACACCTCAAATCACTCCAGCTAAGACAGATGACAACCTTAGCAGTGATGACTGACAGCAGGAATCATGAAAGAAGAACTCTGGACATCTTTGGGGAGTTAGGACAGAGAAAGGAATGAATGAACCTAAGAGAGATGATGGTAACGATTGGCTTAAGGGTGGCAAAGATCCTTTAGACTTGAATCACCCAATCCATGATAATCTCCTACATGAAGAAATGCCAGTATAATCACAAGATTTTTTATTAGCTGTAAATTCATTAATATAATTGGCTAATTTATCTTTTAATACAATATGCATTACAAATTATGATATTAATAAAATTAGTAGCCTTTAATATTTACAATTGATATAACGTATAATATATCTTTATAAAACTATATTTACAATTAGAAGTTTTTATTTTCAATTATTTAATTATTTCCTACATTTGCATTATATTTATTTCATAAATAGGCTTTTTCTTTTAATAATATTTTTTCAAGTATTTATATAGATTGTTTATTAAACTTTTTATAACAAAAATATTTATAATAAATAATATAAAATATCTTAAAACTTTATTTTAATTTATCTATAAAATAATATCTATAAAAATAATAAAATAATAAATAATAAAAATAATAAAATAATAAATAATAAAAATAATAAAATAATAAATAATAAAAATGAAAAACTATCAAAATAAAACTAATCCAAATTATATTAAACAAAAAAGCCATTAGTTAAAGTAAAAAAAACATATTAAGATTAATTTAAATTAGCTATAAATTAGAATTTTAATTAGCATCATCAATACCTACTATTAATTATAAATTCAAGAAAAATTAATTTTATTTATAGCTAATTTTATGATTAGTAACAGATATTTATATTAGAATTTTATTTTTAATTAATTTATTCTATTTTGATAAATAAAAGAACTAAAAAAATTTTATAATTTGTTGTTTTTCTTAATATTTAACAGAAATTACTTGATACTTAATAAAAAACTTAAAATTTAATAAAAATGACTTTGAATTTGACAAAAAAAAAATGTTAATATTTAATAAAAGTAATTTAGTATTTAACAAAAAAGAAGTTTAGTATTTAACAAAATAGCTTTGGATTTAACAAAAAATGTTAGTATTTAACAAAAGTAGCTTAATATTTAACAAAAAAAAAAAGCTTAATATTTAATAAAATAGCTTTATATTTAACAAAAAAATGCTTAGTATTTGGCTTGATATTTAATAAAAAAGACATAGTTTTCAGATCTTTAGTCTAATAATTAATTAATTATAAATTATATAATTGATAACCAATATAATAATATTTACAAATAATTAAATATACAAAAAAATTATAAAAAGATAATAAAATATATTAAAAAAATAAATATTTTTAAAGAAAATATTAGTTAAGAGTGCTTACTTTTAGATAATATAAAATCTGAAGGTATTTATATTCAGAGGAATGTATGCTTATATTTAGAATTTTACAGTATATTAGTTCTATATAAGCAATTTATTTTTATTTTCTTAAATATTAGAAAATCTTTCATTCATTTTCTAATATTATTAATAATTATATCAAGAGTCAATGTAAATAGTTTTTTAATCAACTAAATTTACTGTATTTGTATAAAAGCAATTAATTAAAAGATTACATTCAATTTTGCCATTTATATTATTCAATTAAAAATGTTTTAATTGAATGTATGAAAGGAAAGTAAGGAATTAAGAGTAAAGAGATTAAGTAAATTGAAAAAAGAAAAAGAATAATTAAGAAAATTAAAGAAATAAATTTGAAAGGAAAATTAAATATATTTAGTATAATTTATATAAAAAAAGAATATTAGCAATAAATAAATAATATTAAAACTTAAAAGGAAATATTAAGTTTAAAATTTTATTACAATTAGTTTAATAAATTTAATATATTTTAATAGAAATGCAATGAGAGCAAAAGTGTTATAATTTTTTGAGTAAAAATAATTAATGTTTCTTTTATAAGTAATTCAATAATCAAAAAATGTAATTTAAAATAAGTTTTTCTTATTTGTATTATTTGTAAAAAATTTTAATTATCATGTTCTATTGATAGAAATAAAAGAAAATAATAATTGATATAATAATAGAATTTTTTTTTTATTTATTTAAAGCTAAAATCATAATTTATATAAATTATAATAAGATCTAATAAATGTTAAATACTAAAGTAAAAATACATTTTATGGCATAATTCTATTATTAATATTGAAGCCAAAAATGCAATTTTACTATTATTAGAATTTTCTTATTAAAACAAATTTAATGATATAAATTTTATAAAATTAAATTACCAGTTGTATTAAAAAACAGTGGTATGTAGGATAATGAAATTTTGAAAATACTCTTGTAATATGCAACTTTTGAAAAATTTTAATATAAACTTTAAATAATTTTAAATGTGAGTTATATTAGTATTATTTAAAATATTTGTACAATTAATTATTAAATACAAATAAAGTCTTAAATTAATAAATCAATAAATAATAAATTACATTAATAATATTAAATATAAACTAAATATTTAAAGAATAATTTCTTTAGATTAAGTAATAAAATTATAATATAATTCCATCTAATTTTAAATATTTACTATTTCATAATTCTTAAATTTGTATTTTAATAAAAATATATTATTTATTATTATGAAACAAATAATTTATTTAATAAATTCAATTAAATTAATCAAAAAGTGATATTGAAAGTTGGGCTGATTTTTCTAAATTTATATACTTTATATATATAAATAAATCTTGTCATATACTAATAAAATTTTGTAAAATGAAAAAGTATTTTCACTATTAAAATTGAATTGAAGATAACAATATAATTTAAATATAGTAATATTTATACTAATATTACGATTATAAAAAAATAATGCATCACAGTATTTTACTAATATACAAATAATTAACTAATTGTTTAACAAGTCACAATACTAAATAAATTATAGTATAATAATATATATAATGAAGCTGTAGGTAATTAGATTAAAAAACAAAAGAACTTTAATTATGTGTTTTAGAATTTAGTTAATTTAAGGTTCAATAAATCCAACTATAATACTAATAACTAACAATTAAAAAATATGATATACTTAATAAAATCCAATTGATAATGTTAGATTTTCCTATTATGCTTTTATTAAGTTTCATTTATTTTATCTTTATGCAGCCACAAATTAAAGACAAAAAGTTAAATTTAATATATAATATACATGCTATCATTTTTTTTAAATATTGATAATTCACTTTTATTGATCATACTTGATTTTTGGTATATTGAATTTATTGATATATATGATCTATATACAAGCAAAGAGCTAATATTTTTGAAATAATTTCTTTACATTAAATATTATGTTTTATACTAGAAAAGCCTATTATTTCAATTTTTTAAAATTGCAAATTCATACCAATTGTTTATTATAATTATTTTTTTTCAAAGATCATTTTCTTGAATTTTTTCTAAATTCTAAAAATTTTATATAGATAAATAATATGATCAGAAAAAGATCATTGATGTTTATTGAACATCTACATATTTAATCAGTACTCTTAATACTTTGATAAAATCAAAAAATATGATGTTTATTATAGAATTCTTGCAAGTTAAATAACTGCACATTAAAAAGAATTATTCTAAAATATTACTAAGAATTTTTTATAGAAAATTCAGTATCACAATGTATCACACCCCCACGGTCTGGGGACTTAGAAATTTTTTGTTATTTAAAAATTCTATTTGTCACCTTATTCGTCACAGGAAGAATTTTCCCTCCGGATAATTTATATTATTATCCCAAAACTAAAGATACAAA